GGCTGAAGGTGTTCTTACGTCGATGCTGCTGCCCAGTCTGGAGCCGAAGTCGCTGCGGCCGCTCCGGAAATCTCCCTGATCCTTTTCCCTGATGATCTCCAGCACCAGCTCCCGCGCTTGCTGTAGAACACACACTCAAGAGTCAGACACGTGTCTCAAACATCATCTGTGACTGGGGTATATTTGTAGCAATAGCCAACAATACATTGTATGGGTCAAAATTATACATTTTTCTTTTATGCCAAAAATCATTAGGATATTAAGTAAAGCATGTTCCATGAAGATATTTTGTACATTTCCTACCGTAAATATATCAAAACTTAATTTTTGATTAGTAATATGCATTGCTAAGAACTTCATTTGAACAACTTTAAAGATGATTTTCTCAATATTTAGATTTTTTTGCTCCCTCAGATTCCAGATTTTCAAATAGTTGTATCTCGGCCAAATATGGTCCTATCCTAACAAACCATACATCAATGCAAAGCTATTTATTCAGCTTTCAGATGATGCATACATCTCAATTTCTAAAAATTGACCCTTATGACTGGTTTTGTGCTCCAGGGTCACATATCTCGTTTCTTTGTTTCATGGTTCTTCAGTGGTTTTCCTTTTTACTTTATAATGCAGATAAATGTTACTGTTATAATGTTATATTAATAAATTATATTATACCGTTATAATATTTAATGATTTATTTAATTGGAAAGAATCAAATTTATATAATATATTCGGACACGTGTGTTTTTAGTATCATTTAAATTAGTATTATTTTTTTTATATAATCCATTTTCATTTTATAAAATGTGTAATAATTTTGTTTATTTTTGTTAATTTTGTTTAAGTATCATCAATATACTATAATGGTTTATATTCCGAATCAGTGTTTATTTTTATATTATCCATTTATTTATTTTTTAACATTTTTTGTGTGTTTTTAGTATCATTTAATAAAGTATTTTTATTAATATTTTAAATTGGTGTTTATTTTGACATTATACAATTTCATTTTCATTTTAGTTAGTTTTGGTAATTTTGTTTTGTCGTTTTAGTGTGTGTATATATACACACACAAAACAAAATAAACAAAATTACCAAAACTAACTAAAATGAAAATGAAATTGAATAATGTCAAAATAAACAAATATTAATAATAAACACTGATTCGGAATATAAACCATTATAGTATATTGATGATACTTAAACAAAATTAACAAAAATAAACAAAATTATTACACATTTTATAAAATGAAAATGGATTATATAAAAAAAATAATACTAATTTAAATGATACTAAAAACACACGTGTCCGAATATATTATATAAATTTGATTCTTTCCAATTAAATAAATCATTAAATATTATAACGGTATAATATAATTTATTAATATAACATTATAACAGTAACATTTATCTGCATTATAAAGTAAAAAGGAAAACCACTGAAGAACCATGAAACAAAGAAACGAGATATGTGACCCTGGAGCACAAAACCAGTCATAAGGGTCAATTTTTAGAAATTGAGATGTATGCATCATCTGAAAGCTGAATAAGTAGCTTTGCATTGATGTATGGTTTGTTAGGATAGGACCATATTTGGCCGAGATACAACTATTTGAAAATCTGGAATCTGAGGGAGCAAAAAAATCTAAATATTGAGAAAATCATCTTTAAAGTTGTTCAAATGAAGTTCTTAGCAATGCATATTACTAATCAAAAATTAAGTTTTGATATATTTACGGTAGGAAATGTACAAAATATCTTCAGAACATGGTCTTTACTTAATATCCTAATGATTTTTGGCATAAAAGAAAAATGGAAAATTTTGACCCATACAATGTATTGTTGGATATTGCTGCAAATATACCCCAGCGACTTAAGACTGCTTTTGTGCTCCAGGGTCACATATAAGGAGGAATTTCACCATCAGCACATCGAGTCAAATCTCAGTTCAGATTCAGAGACGTCCATTAGAGACAAGTTTATTAAAGAATATCAAAAGAAGAGCAGCAAATCCCACTTCAGAGGACTGAGACTGTAAGAGCGGACGAGGGTGACACAGTCTTTATTTACAGATCCAGAGCAGAGTGTTTTGCCAGGAGAAGTGTGGGATGGATACAGACAGGTGTGCTGGATCACCAAGGTTCGAAACCAGGGACAGCGAGAGGCAGGAAGAAAGAAAGAGCCCAGCGAAGTCAGAGTGAACCCAGAACGAGTGGCCTTCCGCAGGCGGTACCTGCAGACGGCTCAGACTCAGCATCACAGCCCAGAGCTTCCAGCACCGCGGAGTGAAACTCCTCATGAGGGGGTCCTGGAGGATCCGCAGGACTGTCCTGACCCGCTTCAGGGCCACGGCTGGGGATTATGGAGGGCGGGGGGGTCGCAGTGGCCTGCGGATCCTCGTTGTCCTGCGTGGACATGACATCTGGAGTCTGGACTCCTTCGGGGCCCGAGGCCGACTCTTCGATCTGTGCTAAATGCAATACAACAGTTTCTCTCCTGACCTGTGGAGGGCGCTGGTGGGCTGCGCAGGATTCACATGCAATAATTCCAAAACTTTGCACAAAAAGCAAGTTTGTTCGCCTGACATTACTTGTGCTCATAGAATTGCTCAAATCATAAAAAAAAAAAAATCATAAAATATATTACATATACACACTACTATGCAAAAGTTTGAGGTCAGTAAGTTAAAAAAAATTTTTTTTTTTTAAGAAATTAATATTTTTTTCTCAGCAAGGACGCATTAAATTAATCAGAAGTGACAGTTAACACATTTATGATGTTACAAAAGATTTCTATTTCGAATAAATGCTGTTCTTTTGAACTTTCTGTTCATCTGTGAATCCTGAAAAATAAAATGTATCTCAGCATATTAGAATGATTTCTGAAGATCATGTGACACTGAAGACTGGAGTAATGATGCTGAAAATACAGCTGCGCATCACAGAAATAAATTAGTTTAATAGATATTTTGCATTGTAATAATATTTCAAATTTTTACTGTATTTTTGATCAAATAAATGCACCCTTGGTGAGCAGCAAATATTTCTTGCCTACCCTAAACTTTTGAACATATATATATATATATATATATATAGCATCACCGGTCATTCTTTGCATCCGCATCAGTTTCTGCGAGGAGAAGCGTGTTGATTTGACAGTACCCGTGTTCTTACCTTCTGTGCCTTTCTGCTTGAGCTCCACTTCCTTGCGATACTCCTCCAGCTCCTGGTCTGTGAGCTTGTTGAAGGGGTTCGGTCCAGTTTTACTGACTATGACACATGGTTGGAACTCCTTCTCAATGATGGCTTTAGACGCGGTCACTAGCTCCCCCTGCAGGACAAAAGAGGATAAAGACACAAACACAGGTTAAGCACTGTCATTGCTTAAATTTACAACAAAAGATCAAGAGTTAAATAGTTAAACAGGGTGAATACAAGCGGGACACTTAACATCCAAATGTCATCTAATAAGAGGCTGAACCTGATGCACACTTAAATCTGTATTCTGTATGTACACACACACACACTCACACACTCAATCACACACACACAAACTCACACACAATCACACTCAATCAAACACACGCACACGCACTCTCACACACTCACACACGCACTCTCACACACACGCGCTCGCACGCACTCACACTCTCACACAAACGCACTCACACAAACGCACTCTCGCACTCACACACAAACGCACTCTCACGCACTCACACACACGCGCTCGCACGCACTCACTCACACAAACGCACTCTCACACTCACACACAAACGCACTCTCGCACTCACACACAAACGCACTCTCTCTCACACACTCTCACACTCTGAAAGCATTTCCTAAAGAAGCGTATGGGCAGGCTGGAGTGAGACGGTGATTTCATGGCTCAGAGTCATGCACTCATTGCACTGCAACTCCAGAAACCAAACATATGTGTGCTAGTCAAACCACACACAGATTCATACTGCTGCGCCCATACAATAACAACAGGAGAAATACACGTGTGTATAAATAATGTTCAGCTGAAACCATTCGAAGGCCTGAGGATTTGGTTAGGAATTGTGTTGCT